AGATGGGCTGCTAGGAGGTGATGGAAACTTAGGAGGTAGTGGATTATTAGGGTATTTTCCCTGGGCTAAACACTTCTCAGATGGGCTGCTAGGAGATGATGGAAACTTAGGAGGTAGTAGATTATTAGGGTATTTTCCTTGAGGGCTGTAACTTGTCCTTAGCACTAACCTCCCCCCCCATCATTCTCTCTCTCTCTCTCTTTTTTTTTTTGGCACCGGGGATCAAACTCATTTCCTTGAGCTTACGGGGCAGACAGTGGAACCACTGAGCTAAGTCACCAGCCCTCCATCATTCTCTGTTTTTCTCTCTTTCCTAGCAAGAGGTGAGCAGATTTCTTCTAACATATCTTTCTGCCATGATTTTTCTTGTCTCACCATGGTTCTAAAAGTAATGAAACCCATAGACTATGGCCTGGAAACACTAAAACTGGGAGCTAAAAAATTTTTCATCCTTTAGGTTGACTTTTCCCAGGTGTTTTGTCACAGCAACAGAAAGCTGACTAATGCAAGACTTTATTTCCTGGGGAGGCCAGAATGTAACCAGCAATTCTTTAAATGATGTATAACAGAAGGCCAAAGGATCAGTTTCTTGAATTGTGAGTCATTGAGCAGTTATTTGCCATTGTGGATGGTTGAGAGGCTTCATAAGACATGAGAAGAGAAGTGAGGGGAAACTTTAGTGGTCTGACTTATAAAAAGATTTCTTAGCCTGTCATAGTGACCTACACCTGTAATCTTAAGACTGCAGGAGGTTAAGGCAGAAAGATCAGGAGTTCAAGCCTGGAATACTTACCAAGATTATGTCTCAAAACAGAAAGTAAAAAAGGACTAGGGATATAGTTCATTGTGAAAATCCTGGGTTCGATTCACAAGACTAGAAAAAAAAAGATTTATTTGGAATAACACCAAAATATAAACCCTAAAAGAAAAACATGATAATTTAGCTTCATTAAATTTAAAACTTAGATTCTTCAAAATACACTATTAGAGATCTGAAAAGACAAAGCAGGGACTGAGATGAAAATACTTTCAAAGCAAAGGACTTAAACCAAGAATGTAGGAGCAATTTCCAAGCTTTACAATATGAAAGTAATTAAGTCATTTACAATGAACAAATGAATTGAGAAAACACTTCAAAGAAAGTATACATGGTACATGAGCACTTACAAATATTCCACATTATTAGTCACTAAAAACACTATAAATCACTAGGAAACAACCCAATATACCACTCCAATATCTACAGTTAAGAGGCAAAAACTGTTGACCATATGAGGTATTTGTAAGGATGTAGAGGAATTAGAACTTTCATATTCCTGGTAGAAATATAAAATGGTACAGCCATTTTGGAAAACAGTTTGGCATTTGTTGAATTAGACACATGCTTACCATGTGATTCAGCTATTCAACTCATAGATATTTAGTTAAGAGAAATAAATCTATATGTCCACAAAAAGACATGTATAAATGTTTATAACAGCTTTATTTATAATAGCCCAAACCTGAAAATAACCTCAATTCCTACATATACAGGATTTTGTTGATGTATTTTGATTTATCAATAAAATGAATTAATACTCAACTGTGAAAAAGAATGTACTATTGATACATACAACAATATGGATAAATCTCAAAGTATGTGTGTTGTGTGAAATGGTCCAGAGAAAAGGGACTGTATATTGAATGGCTTTGTTTCTTTAAATCCCTGGAAGATTCACATTTACCTAGAGTGAAAGAAAGAAAATCCATGCTTGCTTAAGGCTAAGGATTGGGTATAGAGAAATGGAAGGAGGAATCTCAAAGGAGTAAAAGTAAACTCTGCGGTTAATGGACATATTTATTATCTTGATTATGATGCTGGTTTTATGAATAAGTATGTGTGAAAAAATATCAAAATATGCATTTTTGGAGTCAATAAAACACCTTTTTCAATGATAATTTAAGATATATGCAAGGGAGAATAAATATTGGTGGCAAGATGGAATCCAAAATATCATAATCTCTGCAGATGAAAAGGAAAAGGAGAAAGAGAGGGAAAGAGAGAGAAAGGGACAGAGAAAGGGAGAGGGGGGAAGAGAGAAGAGGGAAGGAGAGATTATCAATTGAATTTTAAGATCAGGAAAGAAATGTACAGAGTAAATAAGTAGATACATAAATAAACATTTACACACTAGGAGACAGATGATAGGTGATAAATAGAAAAATGAGAGACAGATACATTAAGCATGTTGCTAGTAGATGGACTGGTTACCTAGCTAAACAGATAGGAGACTATATAGTTAAAACAAACTGTTCTCTTTCTCAGCTTTTTGGCCATCACAATAAACTCCATAATATAGGAAAGTCCTTATTTTCCAAAATTGCAAAGCCAAGGTGGAGGAGGTCAGTGGTCCAGCCTGGGGCTGTAAAGCTCCAGGGAAGTCCATGTCTGAGCCCCTTAAAATTATTTCTTCTGCCCTTGATACAATTGGAAAGGGCTGAGGGGGAATCCCTTCTCTCCCAGCCTTTATGCCCAGAGCTTTGTCACTCTCAAAAGACACTTAACAGCAGACCCATATTTCTCACTTAACCCCTGTACAGATTTAACCATGGCTATTCAGGATTGTAACACGAATTTGTTGAAAGTTCAGAATGTTCTCAGCATATGATACTGCAACTCTGCTGGGAGAGTTTAGTTCATTTTGTGGCACTTCTGTTGCCCTAACAAGATATACAATAGCATTGAGCTGCTCATCAGATGATTTCCAGGCACAAAGCACTTTGTGGATCTATTAGGAAGCCACAGGGTCAATGCCTAATGCTTCTGTGGGCTAGGACTCAGGCTTTTCAGTTTCCCATTCTGGATGGGCTCTGAGGGAAAGAATAAGGCTTTTAACTGGTGAAAGAAGTAGGAAGAAATGGCTACAAAATTTCATAAATGGAAATAGCTCTTATATTAAATCCCCAAAACTCTTATCACTGAATATTACACTTGTCTTGAAAAAGAAAACCCAGTATAATTACATGGTGCTTCTTTTTTAATGTCATAGGTTAAACCAAAAAATAAAACTAAATAAAAACCTAGCCATAGAGCACAGAGAAAGCCCTTGTGTTAGTTAGCTTTGCATCACTGCGACTAAATACCCAAAATAAAAAACTTAAAGGAAGAATGTTTCATTGTAGCTCCATTGCTATTGGGCCTGTGGTGAGGCAGAGGATTAGGGCTGGGTGCATGATGAAACAAAACTACTCACCTCATGGGGGCCAGAAAACAGAGAGACAGGAAGGTGCTAGGATCCCAGTGTTCCCAGTGGCATACCACCAATGACCTAACTTCCTCTCATTAGGCTCCATCTCCTAAGGAAACCACCTCCCAATAGTACTAGGTGCTCACAATTAGTCTTTAGCAGAGAGAACTGTTATGGGATTCAAACTCTAATGGCATCTAAAAATTTAAATTCTTCCAATATTAAATTTTGCCTAAGAAGAGAAAAAAAAGCAAAATTATTAGTTAATGATGGTTAATTATAAGTTTGATGTGTATGAATAATATAATTAACTATAAGAAAGATTATTTGCATTCCAAGAAAATTTTTGTTCTTTTCTTTTCCCTCCCTTGCACCCTTATAAATAGTGAAAATAATAGAGAAATAGGTAGCTTGATATGGAATTGTAGAGCTTTTAGATGTGCAAAATAAATAACTGGGATTATATGTTTTTTCAACAAGCAAGAAATCACTTACTTTATCACAAAGCTAAAGACACCAAAAATATTATCCTGGCACTCTTAGAATGGTTAAATTGTCAAGTTAAAAGTCAGGAAGAAAGGGCCAGGGGTTTAGCTTGGTGGTGCCGCTGCCTGCCTCACAAGCAAAAGGTCCAGAGTTCAATCCCCAGTACCAAAGAAAACTAAATAAAAATAAAAAACCAACAGAAGTCACCAAGAAAAATTTTTCTATCCATTTAAAATAAGTCATTCTAATATTGTAAGTTTAGTACCAAGATGGGGTCCAGAGGGTGTTTTTCTGATATACTTAATGTATATGATTGCCCAATTCAAATTTTCCTGAATGAATCTATACAATTAACTAAGAAAGGTCATTCTAACTTATAAATGTGTCTTCAAATTCAGTTTGTCTCACCTCATAGCACCATGAAGCATTTCCTCAGTTGTGCTAGTAACTTCCAAGATGATTTACCATTAAAATCCACAAATATATCCCAAATATCCTTGATTCCATTCTTGTAAAAAAAAAAAATCAAGATCTACCATTCTCTATGACTTCTCTAAATCCTCTTAAACATTTATATATTCTTTATCTTAGTACAGTCCTCAGGGTTCAAAAAATGTTCTTGTTCATAAATGATTAAGTGAATATGGTAAGTTCTTTAATTTAGGTTCTCATTTAATTCTCACCATAACTTAGAGGCTATTATTGTCCTCTTTCTATAGATAAATTTATGGCACTGACAAGGTAAGTAAATGTACCAGGGTTATAAACCTAGTGGATACTAGAATTATAGCACAAATTCAGATGTTATGAATTTTTTTCAATAGCTTCATGTGTAGTCATTCTTCTGTATTTTGGAAATAATATCTTGGCTCTCAGAGATTGGAAGGAAATGTATTGATCCTACCTAGCATCATGACTTTATGGAAAAGAGATTATTACTTTAAATATTGGAAAATGATAAAAGAATTGGTTCTACCACTAAGTATATTATTTTTAGAAATGAATCGTTCTGTTTTTTTTAAAAAATCCAGTAATTTTTCCTATTTTCATCTCCACAAAAACATAATAAAATATTATCATTACAATTGGTAGTTGAATAATTACCATCATGATTCTATTTAGAAAATTTTATTTGATAAGCATTGTGCGAGAGACTATAGCTGTGTTATTTTGTCCCTATTTGAGGTTTAAATTTCAAAAAAGTTTTAAATATAACAAATTTAAATATAACTTTTGATGAAACTAACAGAGATAAATGAAAGGAAATAGTTGGAAGATGCAACTGGAAGCAGTAACTTTGACCATAAAGATGTTGCCTATTGTCAGTAAAGGACTTCTCTTTCCTAGGTCTGACCTTTGCTTGTTCCACAAAGTCATCCTATTTTACAGGAAGAATGTCACAAATCAGCAATACAATGTGTGTGGCTCACCAATTCTTAAAGCTGTTTACTTAAAGCAACAATACTTTCCACTGTGCATTGTGAATGGAGAACTGAAATGAATGTAGTACCATTGCATTTAATTAGAAGATTTAGTCGGGCAGACAAGAAAATCCCCTAACCAGAAATAGCGACATGTGGGCTAGTGTTCTAGCCACTAGTAATTGGTTAATGGTACAGAGAATCCCAGTGAAAATCCCACAAGATATTCGTACTATTAGTGTAAACCGAATTCAAAGCTTTGGTTTGCTTGCTTGAGTATTATGTGCACTTACGAGATTAGATTAATAATAGCCCAAACGGGTTGTGTTATGGCAAGTACAATCTTAATGTTTCATGGCTTTAACCATATTATTTTAGCAAGTCCCAGGTCTTAAATGAACCTCATTATTACAATCTAAGTGACTTTGAATGAATTGAAACCCATAACAAAAAAATCTAAGTCTCCCCTTCCATTTCCTCCATTTTGTCTGTGATCCTATAGCCCTAACCTGGTTCTCAAACCTTTGAAGTATCTTATAGTCCATCCTTCACTGTAACATCTCAGCTAGCAGTACAGTTCTCAGCATGCCCACAACTCTTTCTAGCCACTCTTTCTGAGTCATGTCTTCTCTATAGACTCTGTGCAATCTGTCATTTTACTCCTGATGGAGACTAGAAGCCAGCTGTTAGGCATCTAAGATGCCAGATGCACCATTCTGTTGTTTCTTCCATTGCCATGGTCACATTTTTTTTTCCTTTGGTGTTGAAAACTCTTAGTGACTCAGCAGCATCTTACCTAAAATTAGGACTCCACATTTTACCCAAACAAGCAGTGAACTTCATGTTTGTCATTACTGGCTAACTCAACTTCTCTCTCCCTTATCGTTTATCTATGTGTCAGGATCCTGTTATAAAATTCCCCAGCCCTGGAGTCCAAGAGTTCCCTCTGACCCTTTTCTTCATGCCCATGTTTTAGGACCTAACTTGTCAATCACTGAGAGCTACCTGGGAATCGTTCCCACTGCCCTTTCCTTTCAGGCCTACTGGGTTCAGTTGAAGCTGTACAACTGTCTGCCTATCGCTCCATAGTTCTTTGCACAGCAGCCTTTCAGACTCATCTCCCTTCTTGCAAGTCCAATCTCCCTTAAGACAAACAAACGAAAAGCTAATATTTTGAAACATTCAGGATTAACAGCACTTTGTTACATATAATGCAGTTTGTTTTTTCTAATGTAGGTCTTTGCACTTGCAGTGTATATACAGGAGACTGATGTCGCCGCAGGGTAGGCTTGGTCTGGAATTCACAGCAGAGTGTACAGGCCAAAACTTGGGGCTGTGAGGACTTTGTCTCTTCCAATGCTATGTGTAGCTCCCTCCATCTCATTGCTTCACTTCTCAGAAATGGTACCGCCTCATTAGGAAGGTAATCCATACATCAGCATCAGGTATCTACAAAAGGAGCATCTAAGTGTAAGTCTATCAGGTGAAGAGCTTATATAAGCCACAGTTAAAACCATATCTCAGGATATGAAAAAAAAAAGTTCAACATGATTGTCCAGCAATGGTGAACTATTCAAATAAGTTATATTACATCATTGAGTCATACGTAGTATTCTTTCAAAGCAGATTTATTGTCATGAGGAAATATTCATGATAAAATGCTTCAAAATGATATCATTGTAGTAGTCATATTACTCCTGAGATCTCCCTGAATGTTCAGCATTTTACCTATGTTCCCTTTTAAAATGTTCATGGGAAAGCAGGAGATGAAATTGTTTAAATCTGACATTTTTTTTCACTCATCTGCATCATTTTAAATTTGGCAAGTGAATAGTAAATTAGTTTATTAATCAGAAAATATTATTTCAAAAAGCTAAGTATTAATTCAAGCCCAAACATGATTAGGCATCTTATTTATATCTTGTCATAGCAATCTTGCAAGTGGCCTCAAAGGATCATTAATCATACTCTGCTATTATCATCTGTGCACTTCACTGGAATAGATGTCCCTTCCTAAAATGTGGGTTTCTTAGAGGAAGGGCCATGTTTGTGCTTTAAGACAAATAAGTTTTCCTAGAATTTCAATAGGAAAACTTCACCGCAGGGTACCATAATAAGAAAGCACATTGATACCCAGAAAAGGTGCAAATTTCCAATGATGAATGTCATTATATTGTATATCTAAAATGTACCAATTATTAGAATGAATAGTCGATAATGTAAAATAGGAATAAAAGGTCCAAAGGGGTAGGGATAGTGGGAGGCACAGGGGAAAGGAAAGAAGGGAAAGGAAAAATGGTGAGAAATGGAAAAAATGGAAATAAAGTCTTTGTAAATAGGGAAGGGTGGAGGGCGTGAAGGGAGGGCTAGGAATGGGGAAAAAAATAAGAACAAAGATGCATTATATAAAGGTACAATTCCCAATGAGAAATGTAATTGTGTTGTATACTTACAATGTACCAATAAAAGAATTTAATACAAAAAAAGCTACTATTTTTATAAAAAAGTAGTTTTAATTGTTTACAGTAAGAAGTATAAAGAATAAAACTCTCAAATATGCCAAATATCTCCATAAGCTTAATGGCCTCATTAGCAATGCTGACATTAATTTATAATAGGAAAGCATGCAGAGACATAATATACAAAGTATACAAAGAATACACAAATTAGAAGGTGGAATACTCCCTCTCAACAAAAGCCCCAAAGCATAAATGCAATTAGCATACCTCATTTCTTACGATTTATTGCAAAACCCCTGAACATTCACAAATGCAACACATATGGGTAGGTATGTATTTCTGTGTCTGTATTTACGCACAATATATGTGTGCATTTATGGCATACCTAATAAAGATTATCATGTACACATCAGAAAAAGAAATCATATATAGCTATATATGATAGGTATATATATATATATATATATATATATATATATATGTCATGAGCATTTGATTTTGCTACTTAAAATACCTATTTTTTGTATTCAGCAGAGTTTATCATAATTTAACATTTCTCTATTTTAGACACTTCGGTTGTTGCCAAAATATTTTAAGATTATTTTTGCAGTCATATATATGAAAGGTGTGTGTGTGTGTGTGCACACATGTGTGTGTGTGAGTGACTTGCAGAACTCCCAGCTGAGTATTTATTTTGAAAATGGAAATACATCATCAAGTTGCTTGCCATAAAGTATGGAGGAGACAGCAGCCCACTGCCTGGCGCTCTGGTTCTGGGGAGAAATCCACCATGGCATTAGTCTTGAGAGAGAGATGAATAATAGTAACCTGCTGTTAACTTTATTTGCACTTTTAAAAATTGTGAATAAAATGGAGAAACTAAATATATTTATTGGGCATTTTACTGATGCCTTTGTAAATTTCTGGTGTCCTTTTAAAATTGATTCATCAGAATTTTTATTCACTAAAAACAAACAAACAAAAAAGGCTTGGTCAAGTGATGAACTTATTTTTTCCTAAGTTGACTCTATCTTTATATTTCTTAAAATTAGTACTTTTATTGTTGTTTTGGGGAATATTTTTTATCAAGTATAAAAATACATGCATTTGGTGTTTGTTAGCAAGACCTGCCCACTCCACTATGATTTAAAATATTCACCTAAGCCAGGGGTGTTGTGGGGCAAATGCCTTCAAGCCCAGCACTCTGGGAGGCTGAAGCTGGCAGGGTGAAGACTGAAAGTTCAAGTGTAGCCTGGGCAGCTTAGTGACTTAGAAAAACCCCGTCTCAAAATAAAAGTTTTTTTAAAACAGCTTGGGTATATAGCTCAGTGTGGGGACCCTGTGTTTAAAACTACAGTGCAAGAAAATATTCAGAATAAAATATTCACCTACTGCTTCTTCTAAGTGCTTTACTTCCTGATTAGTACATCAGGATGGTTTTGTTCCTCTCTTCCATGGAATCAGTGTCCTCCTCCCTTACCTGACCCACCTCCTATGACTTTTCCTAAGAGTACAATTTGTGTAGCCCATGTCTTCAGGATAGAATTTGTTTTCAACCTTGGTGGCTACACCCGGTATCTGTCCTCTTTCTTATTATTGTCAAAGTTGGCTTTTCAAGACCCATCTTCCTCTAGTTGGGGATATAGCATAGGATCCAGACACGTTTTTGCACCTGCAATAGTATACACTGTTCATTTCACCTTCATTTTTTACTCCTCATTAACTCAAAGCAAGGGGCTTTTGGCTTCTCCCGTTCTGGTGCAGAAGGCAGGATAAAGAGCACTTGCATTCACCCATCTGGCCTCGCCACAACCACCAATCTCAACACCAATTCTCCTGGCTCTGGTGAGGGCTGAGAGGCTTGGGAATCTCCTGTGTCTTCATGCGATGGGTTATTGGAAGTTTTGGCCGCCAGCCCTCTCCACATTTTGAGTGCTGCTGATGTAATTTTGTCATTACTTGTTTGTTTTCCTTATTCTCATGCAGCGAAGTTGAAGGGTGGGAGGGGGAAGCATTTGTGATCTGGCTTTACTCCTCTATCTTAAATAACAGGAAGTTCAAACTATTGTAATCATTTTAAAATCATCCACTGCCATGGGAAAATTGCTAAAATAAATAGCCCACAGCAATCACTTCTGCAGAGAAAATTGTGTCTCTTGAGAAAAGATATTAAAATCCAAGGAAACTTTCAAATGAGAATTTCTATCCACGTTATTAATTGATCCATACTAAAATAGGGGAGCCATCTCTTGTTTTAAATCTTCTTTGCAAGTAACAATTCTTATGAAATTCTTCAAAGGCACTTACATTTGAAAAGATATAACATTAATCCTTTTGGTGCTTTGTTTCCCATCACCATAAAATCTGGCAGAAACAACATAAAATAGTAAGATAGGATACTAATATAACAGTGAAGCATATGGATTTTTCCCCCATGGCAATTCAACAGCTGTTCTGTGGGTACCAAAGACTTTTACCATTAAAACAATACAGGAAATTAATAATTCTAAACATAATTTAGATCATTACCTTATTTATGAATTTTAAGACCAACTCAGGTTTTAAGTATCTGTAAACAGGCTTTAGATAAATGTCACAAATTTGTATCATTGCAGAACTGATTTGACAATATTGAATAGCCAAGCCCTAACATTTTCATAACAATGTCAAGTTCAAATAATCAGCATAGGAACTCTATTCTTTCCTCATTTCACACAATCTTTGACTTCTCTTCACATTTAAAACACTTGAGTTTTCACAAAGCTGATGTGATGTGATGCTTTAAAAAAAAAAACAACATACGAATCTGAGTTCAACGTTTGGGCTATGACTCTATATAAGCTTCCTGATTTTTACTCATGCAAGGTCTATGGAAGTTGCCCTGCAGGACAAATTTTCTTCTATACCTCTAAAGATGAACGACTCCTACCAAGGGGAGAAAATTTGCCTCAAGCTTTCAAAATGTGATATCCACGTTCATTACATGTGCTCCATCCCAGTCAACTGGAGTCCAATCCACGGAGCCGAATCGCCACCCGAGACCTCATCTGCCGTTTAGAAAATGACTTTCCAAACCACAGAGGGTGAATTTGGAACACACCTCTCTATCTACGGGTTTGGTTATTTTTTTTTTTTCTCTCAGAAGGGTTCACACCAGTGATAAACACAGCAATATCATGTCAGACACTGATCTTTCTTCTGTCAAAAAAATGTTTTTTCCAAGCCTCCCCTATAAGGTCTTAAACTACAGCCCTGGGCCTGTGGATTCCTCAGAAGCTACCAGATTGTGCAATGTACTAACACAAAATGTCATATTACAGCCTTGCTACAGTCACATCCAATAAGTAATCTGGCATGAAGAAAAGTTAACTGAATTAGTGGCCAATTGGGACACTTTGTGACCTACTCTTTAGGAACCAAGTCCCCTGAACTTTTCCATTCTGCTTTGCCTTCATACTTTAATAGGGACCGGATCCCCATTAACAATTGAGCAGCGACAATAAGTGCCATCAGGAAAAGGAAATTCAATTTTCGTGGGGGATGACAGCCTTACCTTTTCGCGCTTAATTGGCCGTATTGTCTCCAAAAGTTAATTGGTTACTTAGTCCAGGTAGTTAGTAAAATGTTTAGCTGCGTCAAAAAGCTCAGGCTCCCACTGTTAATGGGGCATGAAATGGAATGTTTGATACTGCAAATAAAATCAGTGATATTCAAGGATGTTATGGTAGGTAATGCGTTGAAACTGCCATTTAATGGGTCCTGGAAGATTAGGGTAGTGTCAGCCGGAACCGCCCGGTCTCTTTTCTGACATTGTTAGTTGCCTCTTCATTTACTTAACGGCTGTCTGCACTGATTACATAGGCATAAAACTCCCTACAAAAAAACAACAAAGACACGCTCTATTAGCAGTCCAATTAGAACTATTTGCATATTACAGTTCATTTCTGCTTAAGTGAATCCCTAATACAACTTTAGGAAAAAAAATTCTAT